GATCACAGGCCAGTGGGTGGAAAGTCTTGTGGATCCAGTAGCAGTTGAAGCATCTCAGCGCTGGCGTGGGTCTCCAAGTGGCTCGTCCAGCTCCAGGGCTCTGGCTCCATTAGCACGGCTCCATGTGGCTTGTCAGCAGGAATGTCTCACAAAGAGAGTGTGTGTCTAGCCTCCAGGGAGGAAGATAGGAGTTCCCAGAATCCTCAGGAAAAGGCCATGCCCACACAGGTCTCATTGGCTGTGACCTGATTGACAGGCTAGACCCCACCCCTTCGCAGGTTGACAGGAGATGATGTAACTGTCGCACCCCCTCCCACCCTTGTGACCCCTTGATACATTATAAGTTATTACTTTCATGTCTTACGCCATCCGGGGTCTCCCTTCACCCACATTTATGTTGCTGAGGATGGCATTTTCAGCCCCCTCATAGTTGAGAAAAGCACTTTTAAAGTGAGAATGCACCAAGTTTAAGAAGAAGAAAGAATATCAAGGTACCCAACTGGAAGAGTGTTCACATCTTAGTAATGAGGAAACGAACTAAGAGACATTTTGCTGTCTCTCTAAGCATGGTGATTCAAATGCTGAGAAAATGGCACTGCGGAATTCTGAAAGAAAGTCAAGTAGAAAATTGCTGTTGTTGGTAGTGAAGCCAGTTAGCATTTCAAAATGAACTTGAGGGGACATTGTTATCATTCAGTATTTCTCATGTTGGATCAGGGGGGTTTATAACCAGGGCATTAGGAAGGAGGCTGTACTCACTGCTTGTTAAAAAATGGTGCACATTTCAGAAGCCCACATCGTGCTGCATTTTGATCCACTTGTTGATACCACAGCATATTCTTGTGCGTAGTAATTTGAATTATACTTTTGTGTGTGAGAGAGAGAAAGAACAAGAGAACGCAGGTATGTTTCAATGAAAAATAAGACTTGGTTGTTTTTTTTTTTAGGTTATGTCTACAGAAAATATTTCCACACCGGTTTCTTTACTCAAGATCTTTATCAGGAGCTGAAGCAGTCAATGCCTTGAGGCCTTTCTATTTTGCAGTACACCCAGATTTCTTTGGACAGCACCCCAGAGAAAGAGTAAATACTGATTCTTCTTTCATCTCTGTCTGGTCTGGATGGCTGTTTGTTTCCTGTCCCTGCCCTACCCCCACCCCACCCCGTGCCATCTTATACAGTATTTAATAAATATGCCTTCTTTTTTCTTTTAAATCATTTTATTACGGGCTTGTACAACTCTTGCCCCAATCCATCCATCCATCCATTGTGTCAAGCATATTTGTATATTTGTTGCCATCATCATTCTCAAAACATTTGCTTTCCACTTGAGCCCTTGGTATCAGCTCCTCATTTTTCCCTCCCTCCCAGCTCCCCCCTCTTCCTATGAACCCTTGATAATTTGCAATTGTATATATTTGTGTATATTTGTTTCCCTCATCATTCTCAAAACATTTTCTTTCTACTTGAGCCCTTGGTATCAGCTCCTCATTTTTCTCCTCCCTCTCCACCCCCTCATCACGAACCCTTGATAATTTATAAATTATTATTATTTTTTCATGTCTTACAGTGTCTAATGTCTCCCTTCACCCACTTTTCTGTAGTCCGTCCCCCAGGGAGGGGGTTATATATAGATCCTTGTGATCGGTTCGCCTTTCTCCCACACCTTCTCCTTCCCCTCCTGGTATGGCTACTCTCATTATTGGCCAAGAGGGGTTTATCAGTCCTGGATTCCCTGTTTCCAGCTCTGATCTGTACCCCTGTACATACGCTGGTCTAGCCGGATTTGTAAGGTAGAATTGAGGTCATGATAGTGGAGGGAGGAAGCATTAAAGAACCAGAAGAATCATTAGGTTTATTCTTTCTTTTTCACCCTTCCCTAAAATGCAAGATCTATGAAGGCGGTTCACTTTCCTGAACACTGCCTGTTCAAGTCAATCTTATTCTTACTCTTAGCAAAGCATACTTTCCCCTTTCCAGTCATAAGATAATATCAGGCTTCAAGTCCAAGGTCACATGGTGATACACAGTTACTTCTTATGGATTAGTCGTATGCCATCAAAGAGTGGATTTCAATTACTAAGAAAAGCACATATAAGTGACTTAGACAAGTGAGAGCAAGCACCGTTTACTTTCCAATCGAACCAGGTGCCTGAGAATGGACTCAGATCAGTTGTCGGGAACCATCAAGTCGGTTCTGACCCATAGCAACCTTACAGATGGGAGCCCTGCTCGGTCCACCCCTGCCTCGCAGTTGTGGCTGTGTTTGTCTGAGGTCATTGTTACAGCCACTGTGTGGTGTGTTTTCCTCTTTTTTGATGACTTTCTACTTTACCAAGACTGGCATCCTTCTCCGGGGACTGGTCCCGCATGACAACATGTCCAAAGCAGGTGAGATGAAGTCTCAGATGCCTGGCTGCACCTCTTCCAAGACACGTGTCCATTGATCCACCCGTTCACGGTTCATAGAGTATTCTTCACCAACACCAGATCAAACGCTTCGGTGCTGCGGTCTTCCACATTCATTGTACAGCTTCCCCACGTGCGTGGAGACACCGGAGCTTGAGGCAGGCGCACCCTGGTCCTCGGAGTGACATCTTCACTGAGCACACAAGAGAGTTCTTTTGCAGCAAGCTTGCCCGATGCAGTGTCTCTTGATTTCTTGACTACTGTTTGACATGGGCCATGCGATTGTGGATCAAGGAAAGTAAAATCTTCAGCAACTTCAGTCTCTTCTCCATTTATTGTGATATTTCTTAGCGGTCCAGTATGAACTTTTGAGCTGTATTCCATTTTGAAGACTGCAGTCTTGAATCTTCACCAGTAAGTGCTTGAAGTCCTCTCGGCTTCCAGCAAGGAAAAGTTTGTTATCTGCATGTTACAGCTTGTTAATGAGTCTTCTTCCAATCCTGATGCCACAGTATCTCCTGGTTCTGTTTCATCAACTGCCTCTTAATTCCTGCACACATGCCTCATGAGCATGCGCACACACTGGAATTCTCATTCTTCACATTATCTTTCCATCAGGATCCATTGGTAATCAGCAATCATGCTCCTCAATCCTCCTCCTCTTCTGGATTCAGCTGGAATTTGGCAGTCCTTGTCGATGTACACTGCCACTGCTCTTTAATTACCTCCAGCAACATTTTACTTATCGATGATATTAATAATACTTTTTGATAAATGCTGCACCCTGGGGGATTGCCTTTTTTGGAATGGGCACAATAAGGACCTATTCCGATTGGTTGGCCAAACAAGAGTCTTCCAAACTTCTTAGCGTAGGTGAGTGAGCACCTGCAGCCTTGCAGCCATTTGTGGGAACTTCTCAGTGAGGTAGTTTGTCAATTCTTGGAGCTTTGATTTTCCACCAATCCCCTTCGTTCAGTGGCTCTTCCAATGCCTTCCGTCTTCATTTGGTAGTTTTTGTCTGTTTGTTTGTTTGTTTGTTTGTTTGTTTGTTTGTTTTTCACATAGTTCAGTACTTTGCCCGCTGAGTTCTTCAGGATTGCAACTCAGAGCTTGCATTGTTCTCCCCTGTTCTCTGAGTCTCAGCAAGGTCAAGTGTGCCCCTCCCTGTACTTTCAGGGAGTGCTGGACCTCGCCTTCTCAAGATGCCCTCTGATCTTTTGCGGCTCTGTGACTTCATCGTTTCCCCTTAATTACTCTACTCTAAGCACACGTTTCAGCGTCTCTTCTGAGACTTCTCTCATCTTCTTCATCGTTGAACGACCCTGTGCTCCCTGACACGCTGGCAAAGGCACCGAAAGGCTATCAGCCTCAACAGACAAGCAACGGTCCGAGCAGTGAAAGCACGCAGACGATATGCATGATGCTTCAGTGAGCCGCACCTTTCGCCACACGCATATGGGTTCACTTCTTGTGCCTGAAGAACGAAGGGTTAAGGACGGTTTCAGTGAACCTCTGACTGGGG